TCCCATACAGGCATGGCAGAGCAGCCAAGAAAGCACTGGGTCAAATCCAAGCAGGGCGGCATATACGAGGCAGCCTTCTCAGCTCACAGATAGCAAGTTGTGTCCAGCCTGCACCCAGGCTTCCATCCCTAACTCCATTAGGTCCCAGGGCTACAAGTCAGACAGGCAAGAGGGGTCCCCCATCCACAGATGCAGCTGTGAATTCAAAGAGGGCGGGGAGGGAATGGACGAGGAATCCCAGTGCAGAGCAGGGATAGGCATCAAATGCAAGGAGGACCCGGCCATTCAAAGCGTAAGTCTCAATGGATCCTTGCTGAACAAAGAGGAGAGGCTTGTAGTGCCACAAGTCCTTCTTCCCCCCCCACCCCCCAGCCCCCCAATCATGAAGTGGGTCCCTAGTGCCCTGAGGAAAGAAGCAGGGCTTCTAATCAGCCCCCCTTCCTCCCATGACAATGAGTTCACTCCTCTCCCGTTCCCAGGGGGAATGGGAGCCAGCAGGGAGGATTCGGAGACAGATCCCAACAGAAGGTAGGCCACAAAAGGCCTCACCAAGGCTGCAGCAGAGTTTCTACACTCCCAAAGTGCACAAAAAAGGTTAAAAACCAATCTAAAAAGGCTAAACAGGGAAGGAAAAGGCCCAAGAAATCCAGGAGTCCTGGGACGACTCCTCCACTGAGGAAGGTCAGCTGTCTGGCTCTGAAACCTGAGCAGGTTCCTGAGAATAAGCCTCAAAATCCTCCCATAGAGTGCTGGGGAGCTCATTCAGAGACCCCAGGGTCTGCGGAATGAGGAGAAAAAGATTCAAGACATAAGCCTCCTAGAGCTGAAAACGGTCAAGCTAGCTCTGCAAAGGTTCCAGCCCACCACACTACAGTCACATGTACAAACAACCAAAGGGGAACAAGGAGTCCGGCACTACATGCAGAAGCAATGGAAATAATGAGATGGGTGGAACAGTTCCTCCTCTCCCTCAGAGCAATCCACATCAAAGGGGACGAGACAAAAACAGCCTGGCTCAGCAGGCACAGGGTCAACTCCTCCAATTGGTGCCTGAATCAGAAAGGTTTTGATCTCGTCATTAAGACATTGGGCCTCCCTTCAACTGACCTCTTTGCTAATTGTACAAAGGTAAAGAGACCAAAATACTTCACAAGGAAGGCAGATCCCAAGTACATGGAGACACAGGCCTTATTGCACAGTTAGCCGCAGAGCCTACTTTGCACGTTTCCACCCTTTCTACTACTGGGGAAAGTGGTCCAGAAAATGAAACAAGAACAGGTGATGTTAATATTGATAACTTCTCATTGCCTGAGGAGACCTTGGTTCTCCGACCTGATGGAGCTGAAACTGGAGTACCCTCTCCTGCTTCCATGGAGACTGGACATCCTCTCGCAAGGTCCTCTTCTTAATCCAGACCCAAAACGGCTTCAACTGACAGACAGGTCTCAATCTGTCCTCCATAGTCATTGCTTTCGTCTAGGAGAGTATCAACACTAAAAACATACTCCTCATCTAGCCCAGAATCAACAACTGGTGCCAAGACTATAATATTAGCAAATCCCAAGCATTCCAACCATTCTGGACTTTCTCCAAGAAGGCATAGAAAGAGGCCTTCAAGCCAGTACCATTACATGTCAGGTGTCTGCTCTTAGTAGATTGCTGTTCACATGATCCTTGGGCTCTCGGGCAGACAATCCACAGATTGCTTGATTAGCCAGACCAGCTAATCTGATTAGCCAGACCAGCGGCCAAGCCACTCTTCCCAAAATGGGACCTTCTGCTAGTTTTGAGGGCTCTGACAAGCTATCCCTTCGAGCCTCTGATTTATTTATCCATTAAGACTTGTTTCTTAGCAGCTGTCACATCCGCCAGGTGAGCATTGAAACTGGCAGCCTTATCTATACTGGAGCCTTACTGCATGTTCCACAAGGACAAAGGTGATGCTTAGGACACCAGAATCCTCTCTTTGTAAGATAAATTCCTCCTTCCACACTTCCTAAGAAGTTGTGTTTCCTTCATTTTGTCCAAAACCACAATATCCAACTGAAAAGGTGTGGTCCACCTTAGAGGTGAGAAGAGCATGGAATATCTATCTCAAGTATACTGAATCTACGCTTAGGTTCCCTATTCGTATCCTTCCATCCAAAATGCCAGGGAATTAGAACTTCCACGTCCTCCATCGCTAGATGGATTAGATTATGTATTGTGGAAGCCTGCAGATCAACCAGAAGCCTTTGTCCCAGGGGATCAAGGGGCATTCCACGAGATCCTTAGCAACCTCATGGGCAGTACAAGCAAGCGTGTCCTCTTTGGAAATTTGCAAAGCGGCCACTTGATCTACCGCTAACAACTTCATTAAGCACTATAAGGTGGACCTTCTATCTTCTGCAGAGGCTTTCTTTGGGAGGAAGGTGCTGCAGGCAGTGGTTAAGAAATAGTACAGATTTTGAGTGAGCTCACACACTTCCTTGCTACCAAATTTTTATTTCATAACTCTCTCCCTACCCCCGTTCACTGCTTGCTATTTCCCAGATGTCCAGAATTGTGGGAGACTGCACTGCAGAACAGAATATTTCTCACTGATAATTTCCTTTCTGCTAGTAGTCTCCCACAATCCTACCCCACCAGATGGCTCATGAGTCAGTCAGATATTAAACGGAATCATTACCATTTGATCATCTTCTTAGGTCTAATGTACATAGTTATTTTGTTATCTCTGGAATGTTTGTTAATAATATGTTATGCAGATTTCACATCTTGGGAATAACTCATCTGGCAGCAAGTAGGAGCAGAGAGGCATGGCCAGACCATATAATGCCAAAACACTGATCCATTTCTGTGAGCCTCAGAGAGAGAACAGCTTAGATATCCAGAATTGTGGGAGATGCTGCTAGCACAAAGGAAATTATCGAAGAAATTTTCTGATGAGAGTCACATTTTCTGAAAGAGATGCAGGATCAGGAATTTGGGTTTCAGTTTAAAAATAAAACACATGAAGATACTTTAACCAATGAAGACTGCAATATACATATAAATTTATGAAGATGGGACAAGGTCATGACTCGATTTCTTTGCTATCACAATTGAATAAGTAAGAAAATATAACATCAAAGAATAAAAGACAGGAAATAAAGAACAGGAAGAAATTATCAAGTCTGCACAAAAACAGAAGCTAATAAGGGCATGCCACGGCGATTACTGGTAAGAATGGTGGTATACGTTTGTAAGCTGAAAACTGAGTGAATAGCATGGTGGCAAAAACTGCTGTCAATGTACAATTATTAGGTTTGCCATCACTAGAGAGGATGGTGAATGCCAGAAGAAACTAACAAACTTTATAATTGGGCAAGACAAAGGCAGATACAATTCAACAGAAACAAATGCAATGTAATGAATATTGGAAAGAATTTTAACCATTCATACACACTGATGAGTTCTGAATTAGTTGTTATCTCTCAAGGAGACGACGTAGGCATCACCATGGACAGCTCGATGAAGACCTCTGCTCAATGTGCAGTTGCAGTCAAGAAAGCGAATAAGTTGTTAGGCTGCATTAAAGAGAGAATATGGAAAAATATTATGGCATATATTTTTCTCACAGGTCTTCATGCTGAACACTGCTCTGTTTTCATCACCATATCAAAAGATATCACAGAAAGACAAAAGGAAAAACCGATCAGATGTAGGGGAAAGATTTTCATACCTGGAGGGATTGCAAGAGTAGGATTATTGAGTTTTGAAATGAGAAAAGAAATAAGAGATGAGATAAAGATCTGAGACTCCAACTGAATAGCCGATAGTCATCGTAAAGCAGTGCTGCTATTTATCAAGGGAAAAAAGGACACTCATTGAAAGGTCATTTTTAACTCAGTCTCTAATCTGTAGAACTCACTGCTTCATGTAGAATATCTGTTGTTACACTAGCTAGGATAAAAAAAGCTGGAAAGGTTATTGCTCATGTTTCAGGACTCACTGGTCAGCTACGGACAAGAATCTCCCCTGAAATATCTGATACAATCTGTTGGAGCATGACAATAACTACTATACTCATGTGGAGAGGGAAAATAATGATTGAGAGAACTCAGATGTTTAACAGCTCATTTTTGGGTGCTGTGATGATAAAACACCAGCAGAAAGGGAGGTGATGGCAGTAGCAGAGGAGCCAGGTAGTGACAGCCAAACTTCATCCATCTTTCTCTCCAGTTCAACACCCACAAGAGACAGAGGGCATCTGCTTGGGGAAACTGGGGCCTGCTGCATGCCCCCACCATGACCACCTGGTCTCCCAACACACATGGGCACCATCAGCAAGAGCACTGAAGGTAGACCTTTAAATCCCCAACATCAAACAGAACAGAACTTGAGACAGAACTTCAAGAGTCTTTTTGTGTCAGTTATATTTCTTCACATCTGCTCCTTGGGCTCCAAGTCCTCCAGCTGCAGTTACTTGACAAGTTATGTTTGAATAACAGTGAATATCCTTATTCTTACATCCTACCTGGTCAGTAGCATACCTCCTGCTCTCCTCCTGCCAACCCTTACCTCCATCATTCTTCTCATCCCCAATGGCTGTATGTTTTGCACCTGCCCTCCCATCACCCTCACCCCATTACTATTTCACAGACACCTTCCCAACAGAAGCACAATAAATAACCACGCTTATTACTTTTATTGCCTTTGTCCTCCCTTCTCGTCTCCTCCTATTCTTATGTCCTCTTGTCTTAAATCAGTTTGTAAGCTTTTCAGGGTAGGAGCTAGGCCTTCTTATGTGTTTCCACAGTACCTAGCATAAATGGGCATTTGGATATTACTGCAATATACGTAAGTGGAAGAAAGAACAATAATGGAGGAAAAAGGAGAGGGGAAAGAAGAGCACCTCCTGCTATAAGCAACCAACTCTCATTATGAGTAAATTCTCTGTGAATACACTTGTATTAGTGAACATTTCTAGTTCACATTTAAATAAAAATTTAAAGACTGAAAATTGTAAAAGATGGGTATTAAACAACAATGTGAACAGAAGTTTATTTCCATCATGGGGTTTATAAAATGACAAAACTGATTTTAAATATATTCCATGCAAAAACAAAACAACTTATGTTAATACAATGTTAGGGTTGCATAGTTAATTACACAAAATCAGGAAATGCCAATTAAAGGTTGAATGCACAACCTTAACTATGCCCCTTGAACGTATGGATTATAAGTTTGTAGTTACATGATCCCATAATACTTAAATATAATAGAATGTATATTACATTTCATAGATATAAGCTTCCCCTAAAGTAGTATTAAACTACTGTACTGAAAACTAATCCAGATGTCTTCTTTTATTATAACTGAAACAACCAATAGCATTGGACTAATTCATTTGTATACTCTGCACACTATAGCACCTTCCATCAAATGGTCTCAAATCACTTTACAAAGGATGAATTAAGCCTCACAACACCCCTGTGAGGTAGGGAAATATGACCTGTTTTACAGCTAGGGAAACTGAGACAGAGTGAAGTTAAATTATTTGCCCAAGGTTCCACAGCACGTCAATGAAAGAACTGAGAATAGAACCCAAATTTGCTTCTCAGACTTGTGCCTTAACTACTTTCGACCAGTCTTCCTCTTGTGTTCTTGTTTTTAGACCAGATCTTCCATGTCAGTATTCCTAGATGTGCCACTCTTTTTCTCTGAGGATTTAATACTTTGGTACACCACCTTGAATATCCATATTCTAGTTAGGTAGCCCACTGAAACTTCACTAAGCTTGATATATAGTGTATTGTACCTGAGCAATTGCATATAAAAGTTTAATCAACATATTAGAAATTGCTTCATGAAAAAAGGAAATACACATGGATATCTTCAGAACAATTTGGATCAGTGTCACAATTTTTATCTAAGTCGTTGGAGGGGGGAAATTATTTTTGTTTTAACTAGATCTTACACTATTATTTTATTGTTTCATTCAAGATAAATGAATCTTGCAACTTGGCACTATCCTAATTTACTGAAAACAGGTGTGGTAGTTTAGAGACTTGATTATAAGATGTGTACAGATGGCCATTCCACAACCTCCCCAAAGGCCATTTTCCAATATGTATTTTTTTGCATTCTGAGGCTTCCCCCCCACTATTGATTTTCAAACTTTCTTTGTTTCAATTTAAATCTTACGATGCATGTCACCTTTGACCAATAAGGACTGCTCCTCTTCATTGCTGTAGCATTCTTCAGCACAGAAGCTTTTGCATTTTTCCTCCAACACAACCTCCTCCTTCTATCCTGTACACAACAATTTAACCATTACTTACAGGCCTTATTTTTGTGTTCCCTACCCTTTTCAAATTGTTCCTGTACCATTGTGTCTGAAACCAAACACACAACAGCTACCTTAAACAGTGCTTGAGAAGCAAAGTTACTTCCTTAATAAGCAGTACCTCTTTTCTATCCAAACTAACACTGGAGATACAAATTATATATAATTTGTATCAGAGTGGTGTCTTGTGCTCTATTCTGATATCTGCTATAAACTGAATATCCTTCTCTCCCTACCTAAAGCTGACCCAAACTAACACCTCCCCTTCTAAACTTGGATCCTTGATTTTTAACTTCTACTTAAATTTTCCTTGAAAGTTTTTACTCAACTCTACAGAGAACAAAATGTTTTTCAGTTTTTACTATCAAGTGAGTATTGTGCCAGACACAGCTGTTTTAGATTACTGAAATTTTACCAGCATGTTTTCTACCACCATCTCATTTAAACTCCGATTCAGAACCCCCCCCCCCCGCCCCACACACACAGAGTTTAGAATGAAAATGCCCATACCTAGTCTTACCTTAGAAGTCTATTTAGGAAAAACTGAGACTGAGCATCCTGCAGTTAGCTAGACTTACAATACAGGTCACAAGAGAATGAAGATGCTTCTTTTGTGCTCAGAACAAAAACAAAACAAAAAAAGGCCAAAGACACCTGGTTTTAAAAGTATTTGTTTCAGCAGGATTATCATACATATCAAGCAGAGAGGTGTATTTTCTGAAGTACATTTCTTTGAATAGCTCACACTACTGAGGAGGTAAAGGGATGTAGCTATTGAGAGTGTAATTAGCAGCATATTTATGTTACCTGAAATTGTGTTAAGTCAAGGAAAGATTTAGCTGCTATCGAGTTTTGGCACTTAGGCAAAGAGTCATAACTATAGAATTCCTCTGTGTGTCTACGAGATGCTGACTTTCATAGCAAGAGTAAGTAAACTCCCCTCCAGGAGTCTTGCCTTCTTTGTTGCTGTCAAATTCAGAGCAGACCAAGGAAATCAGATGGGTTAAAAATTTCAGCATATGGAAGTGTAGTAGCTTCCACGAACAAAAGGCCATGCATTCAGATATGAAATGAGCACCCATGAAGTCAGAGAACCCTAGTGAAGACTTAAATGAATGATTTAAAAATAGATTTTTAAAAAAATTATAAGGACACTTATCCTTGACAAGTTTGATAAAGCCAGCTACAAAAAATAGTTTAAACTAGTGGAAATCAAATACCATACATGGCAACTATGTAGCTGTTGCTTCCTCATTACTTTTGGATTGAGACTAAGCAAGACCAGTCTAGAGTAACAGAGTTGAGTTAAACAGCAACTCTGTTCTACCTCTCTGATGTAATTAATTAGCATAGATGCCAATATTCCTGTAGCTGAGGTTCTGGAAATCCCATTTTGGAGAAAGCCCAAGGAGATAGTATAAGCACATTTTCCCTCCCCACACTCCAAAATTTTTCGTGATTTTATCATTAACCTTAAAAGTTAGTCTGCCATCAAAAATTTAAATCCAAAATATTCCCTTGTGCACCAGTTTTAGTGTAATTGGATGCACTGTTATACTAGCGGCTTTGTAATTATGTGTCATCTCTCTTCTGCATAAGACATGCATTGAGGTATATACTCTTTTACATCATAAGTCTGCATGTTAGCCACAGGAGTGTTTAAACAAGTAGTCACTTAAAATTGCATTGAACTAGATACCACTGACTGATATTTTCACTGTACTTCTGCTGTAAAGGTGAGAGTTTTCTTCATTTTAAAATAAGGCTTCAAAGCTCATGCATAATTTTTAATTTCTGTCCTTTCAGTCTATGGACACTACTGAGAATGCCACCTTGGGCTAAAAACAGATGGTGATTTGAATTAGATACTATCCAGAGGCCTCAGTCTAGCTACCACACTATATGAAGGCTATGTAGTACCAAACATTGCCATGAGCTGTTAACTTTGGCTCTTCTAATCTCGGATTTGAACTTAACGACTGCATACCTCCATTATCTGTCCCAAAGCTATCCAGTTATCCTCCATTTATTTAAATGCTGCATGGTATAGTCTAGGACTACAGGTAAAGATACATTTGACTCCAGGATCCATGTATATTTCCACTTTATTAGATTTATTAATGTTACAGGTTTTCTTGCACTGCCAAAACCATGCCTGAGAATTCAAATAAAGGTACAATGGACAGCCTCATCTACCCATCATACAGTATATTAAAAACTTGATTCATGTGTATTAACAACTCCAATATCCTTTAAATGTGAGAACAAAGTTGGGATTTAGTATTTCAGGTTTCTACCATGTCACAGAGTGACACCTCCCTTTACCGCAAATAGGACAATCTTAAACTTTTAGTGACATAAACCAATATATGTTTTGTTGGCAGAGATATTCTTTCAGGGAAGATACATGGCTCAGAGTCCAACGGTATCAATGTAAGTCTACTTTCAGTGGTTCTGATTCTCAAAATGAATCTTCAGGTTTTTAAATTTGTCTTTTGATCAGTCTATCTGTTCACAGCTGCTAGTTTGGAAATTTTACTGACAAAGTTAACTCTGCAAGGGCTTTAAGGCCAGTTCTATTCCAAGCATATTGTGAGAATCAGGGGAAAGCCCTGATCCCACTGAAGTCAACAGCAAGATTCTTACCGACTTCAAAGGAATCAGACTTTAAAGCATCAGCAATTAAATCAAACAAAACTAACCATGTAATGTCTGCGTGAGCCACCAAGCCTGGTCTACTATAGGTGAAGTACTGCCACATCAGAAAGATTGTTTTGTTATTGGCAAGTATGAAGTGGACAAGGGAATAAGTCTGCAGCCCCTCCTTTTGGCATTCACATTTACAGGGAGAAACCTAGATTTGGAAAGAGGTGCTCACTCACTTAACATACTAAAAACAAAACTAAACTAAATGAAGCAAGGGGAAAGACAGATGGTATGCCCCGGGAGAGTTTGGGTGGTTGTCAGATTCTCTTCATTGTATAGAAGCAACTGGGTATTATTTATCCTATACCTCTAGCATACAAATACATTTTATTTATCTCCACTAAATTAAGTCAATAGAGCTGGCCAAAAATTGAACAAAGCCGTCACTCCTTCCATTGTCACTAGGCTTCCTGCAGTTGAGAAAATGCCATTTAAAGTGAGGATTTCTGTCTGGAACAGTTTGCAAGCTCACAAGGTGATCAGAAGCAGCCATAAAATGAAAACTCATCAGGTTTGAGGTTATCCTTCCTTCAGAGTCTTATATCAGCTTACCCATATAAGACAGGATTGGTTGGAGACAGCTGTTACTTTTGCCACAAGAGAAAAACTTATCTTGAGGTTAATATTATTACTGCCCTGTATACTGCATGTATTTTTTGAAACTATGTTCTGAAGACTAGAATGGGAGCACAGGCTTCTGCTGTGTGCCAAATCAAAGCCTACTGAAGTCCTAGTGCCTCAGAGAAAGAGAAGCAACCCAATTATGAAAACCAAGATAAACTCATCACTATTAACACATTTTTACTTGAGTATACTGCAATTTTATACTAGAAACAGAGAAGGCATATTTTGTAGAACGCTTAAACACAACTGTGAAAATGGCTAATGCAAACAGCCCAATCAATCCCCACCCCACACACCCTCCAATTTTGTATTGGAATGAGTTTTGTTTTGCGGTTACCTCAGTACAGCTCTATCTAAATAGGTAAACAAACTACAGCTCTGTACTATACTTTGATAGTTTTTGAAAGTGGTATGCTCCAAAAAGTCTCTAGTAGGCTATGGTACACATGAAAGGATTCCTCAGGATGGGACACCAGACAGGTTTCTCATTAAGGTCACTTAAATCTTTGTTATTTATAGCAAATCAGAACCAAATGGCTGACTTCTTCAGGATTTCTGACAGGTACCCAGTAGAGAAGCTGGTTTCAGATGGCCACTAAAACAGCTGTAACCTTCTTTTCCAGAAGTTGTGATCCACATGGTGTCCACAATGAGTGCAGCAAGTCTGAGGTAGTCAACCCTTACGAAGGCTCAGTATCTGAACATAAAAAGATTTTGAAATGACCACTGACTGTAGATACTTTTTCAGAGTAATTAAAGAACACTGATGAATCTTGTTCAACCATTTACATTAATTTCCCCCAAATCCAATGGAGAAGAAAGTTGCAACACATTATGCTTCCATAGTGCGAGAGCAATCACTTATGTCAAAGTAGTCTGCACTTGCCGCAGCAGATCCAGCAGAAATAAGATGGCATGTTCATCATAGTCGTTAGCTGTAGTTTAGTTACCTTAGGAGGGTTACCAAAAAAGCATTCCTTAATTGTAATGTGTATGCAGCTCTACTGATTCCCAAGCACAGCATATTGGTTGTCTAGCTGAAGTTTAAGTGCCTGGTTTTTTGAGACCTCATCCCTACCTCTATTTTTGTGTTTTACTACTTCAAAGCTCTTCTCCATTTCTTTATCCCTAAGGGAAAATAAATGTAGTCAGTAATTGTCTTATTCACTAGCTTCTGAATTGTGAAATTCCTAGCCAATTTCCACCCCAAAACCAACAAAATTAGAAAGTTACACTACAAATGCAGAATAGAGGAAGTGGGTTGGATTCCACAGGATATCCATGCATTCCCCAAGAGAACAGAAGGCTGCATAGACTATTTCCAGAGTAAAGCTCTTGCCCTTTCTGTGCTATTTGTTCAGATTACATTGGTGACTTCATTTCCAAAAAAACATTCCAATATGGTATACTGTATAACGCAATACATATGGGTTAACACTTTCAAATCATGCTATAGCATTTCTCTCAAAGGCGATAGAAAATAGGGGTCCATGCCTCTCCCAGTGAGGTCTGAACATTGCAACATGAAACCTAAGAGTCATGTAGAAGATATGGAAAGAGTTGTGCTGCAGTTAGTATGTTACTCAAGTATAATTCAGAATGTCTCATGCTGGTCTTTAAGATTAACCCTAAGCTCATATCCTAGAAAAGCCAAGACATCTTTGATAACACTGCTTGTTCAAGTGGCAGACACCAAACTAGACCAGAAAAAAAGCTTATGCTACTGTGCTGTATCAATCAATGCCACATCAAGAGGTGATAACAGCAGATGAGTTAGAGGTCTATTTAACCCTTCAGCAGGGAAAGAGTCTATGGGAGGGATAGGAAACTCAGGCAATGTCAATTTGGAGTCTCCTTAAAGTCATTCAGGGTCATGACATTGCCCTCCAAACTCATGGTTAATGTAATAACTGCAGAAACACTGTGTCTACAATATTCCTCCCTTTGCTCCACACAACCCCTTTTGAAGTTGCCCATGATAACACAGCTCTGCTCAAGCAGCATGTTACTATTGCTTCCCTGCTGACAGCTGCCACAGAGCACTGATTAATGTGGAAAGGAACTCGATATTGTCAAGATCAGCAGTGTTTTATTTAGGGAAATCCCTGAATATAGGGACTAGGTGGCCAAGGAGAGTGGTAATCACCTAATCTGGCTCTCTCCTCATTGAGAGGAGTCCCACTCCTCAGACCTTTGAGATGCATTGGGATGGGGTGGGGATCTCCATAAAGACAGGGGAATGATAAAATTTAGACCCCAACCCCGTCAACTAATCATTTCTGCTATTTACAGACCTCTGTGGAAAGATGATGATCTGGCACCAAATAAGGAGTTATGCCTCTGATGGGAAAGCATTTTAAATAGGCATCTTAGAGGAACGGATTAAATATACTTACTTTCGGCTATCTACATGCTTGGCAGTGGATTGCAATGATGGAAACTGTGTATCACTATAGATCTCTGGTGGTCCTTGTGGTGCTTTCCGTGTCCTGGTCTCCCTAGCACCAGGCGGTCGGTATACACCACTAGATTGCACTGGTTCCGGGGTTTCTGTAACTAAGAGTTTATTAGCAGAGTTTTAGACAAACAAAAAAAAGTGTATAGCCTTATTTTTAAGCTCTGGCTTTGGGCTCTATTGTGTTATTTGCTTCCAATGGTCAGATATTCTAATCTTTGAGTTGATCTAATACAGAAGATCTTAGTTTCAGATCATTAGTGAGAGTGTTCAAGATTATCCGACTAATGACTAGACCTTTTTAAATTAAATGCAGTTTTAGAACAGCACCACAGAGTCACAGGTGGTAAAAGCCACTAGACAGGACTTGAGTGTAATTGCTAACATTTGTGATTACTAGCTAAATTTCAAGTTGTTGTACTCCCCATATTTTCCAAATTTAGTTCAATGAAACTGCCTATGGCCTCAAAGCAAACTGAAGTATTTGCTAACAAATAATGAAATGTAATCTACTGTAAACTTGTAAAAGAGGGAAGAATACATCTGCATGACATGCTAGTGGGGAGGGATAGCTCAGTGGTTTGAGTATTGGCCTGCTAAACCCAGGGTTGTGAGTTCAATCCTTGAGGGGGCCTTTTAGGATCTGGGGGGAAAATTGGGGATTGGTCCTGCTTTGATCAGGGGGATTGGACTAGATGACCTCCTGAGGTCCCTTCCAACCCTGATATTCTATGATTCTAAGTGACCCACCCTCATTAAGTTTAACTAGATTTTCCAATTCCAAGTGCTCTTACATCCCACTGTAAGGATCTTAAGAGTTTTAAAATTTTCCTGATAACCAAAAGCAGGGTTTATTATAAGATCAGCAGTCATAAAATAAAAACATAATTTAGCTTTTTGTATTTAAGATGCTATTTAGTAATGTATTTGTAATTAATAGTTTTTAGATGCAGTCATTTTCCGACCTTTCAGCTGTTCTGTAGTTTATCAGTGCCCTAGGAGAAACTGCATCAATGAAGCAGGGATATCAGATTAAGGGTTGAGTTACACATTTATGTTAATAAAACTGAGCTTGAGTTAGGTACTCCTACTACCTTTAAATCCACAGCAACTCTGCTGGTTACACTCAGTGATGACTATCTTGCCACTTTTAAGTATGTTTGTGTCCTCTGGTAAAGCCTTCTTAATCTATTCAAGGTATACTTAAAGGCTCAAGGGAACTGGTTGCTCTCCACATTGAGACAGCTACATGGTTTTGGCTTAAAACTTCTGATGGAAGTGCTGCAAAAGATCTGACTGAGTCAAACAGGAGTTTGTCCTCCACTAGTCATCTGCCTCTTTGCATGCCTCCATCTGAAGTTTGCTTAAATACCTGGGTACATGCCAAAGAAGAGCATTATAGGTTTTAATTTACAGAATTTCTAAACTCAGACTGAATCCTTTATAATGAGCATTGGTTCTGCCGTGCATAGAATCATAGAATATCAGGGTTGGAAGGGACCTCAGGAGATCATCTAGTCCAACTCCCTGCTCAAAGCAGGACCAATCCCCAATTTTTGCCCCAGATACCTAAATGGCCCCCTCAAGGATTGAACTCACAACCCCGGGTTTAGCAGGCCAATGCTCTCTAACCACTAAGCTATCCCTCCCCCCATAGTTGGCAACTGTCACATAGTCCAGTAGGTTGCTTGTCCAAACTGAGCTTCGATTATGAATTGCAACCGCGGTGGTGATTTACACATGGAAGGACGAAAAGGGAAGCTGGCTCAGAAAGAAGCAATAGTTTCCTTCTGCATCCCTTCATAGTTCTACCACATTTATAGCACTACATTCAGGATTCTGCTTGTACAAAAAAGCAAGAAGCTGTCAAAAGTTGAGACAAGGCAGTGCCAATGGCAACTCATGTCTTCAACCCCATCTCAAGTGAGAAGTGCATTGAGAAAGCAAGAGAATATTTATGATAGATTTGTTAGTGGAGATAGCAAATTAAGTCATTTTGGACAGAGACTACATTTAAAGTCTTTCCCTCAACCAAAACATCAGACGACAATCCTTTCACCACAATATAATCGAGAAGAGTGAAGGACTGTAGATGTTTATATAGATATACTAGTTATTGAATCTTGTTTGAGAATCATTACATTACATGTCAGATAATGACTACAAACATTTCTGCTCATCTACTATGTGATTATGAATTATCATGGCAGTATGGGGGGGGAAAGAGAGGAGATCAAATGAGGAAACTTAGCTTAAGTTTGCAAACTATACCAACTGGATGTTATTTTCTCCCATACCACTCCTGAAAGGTATTTAATTTAGTCTATATTCTACTGGGAAGTTAGATTAGCTATATTTACAAAGGTGTATCGTAAGATACGAGTTTAAAACTGATCTACACTTCAGTTTTTGGAGACCCTATTAATGTAAAGGTTTCTGTCTAAAAGATTAACTCCTATCACAACACCCAAGATTACCATACCTTAAATTAGAAAACTATTTTATACCTTTGGCAGCACAGTCTACTCAGTTTCACTTTTCCCTGCAGAGTCAGGTTTGCTATTGAGTAAAAAGACCCATGAAGAAATAATTAGAAGAGTTTAGTACTATAAACACTGACAGGGAGCTCTGGGGACAGGTGTAATACCGGAGACTTCTATCTCAACTTCTTAAGAGTTAGATTTAAAGTTGGTATGTCTTTACAGGCCAGTGAAAGAGACAAGAAAAACTTACCAATAGTTTCAGCAACAGGTGCTTGCACAGGAGCTGTCTTGTTCCAAGGACCAGATGCTCTCTCTAAACCACCACCAGCCTCCTCCCAGTTGTCACCTGGTTCTTCTCTCTTTTCACCTTCATCATCTTCTTTTTCACTAGTGGAATAGTAGTTAGCATGTTATAACCAAAAGATTTAAACACTTGCCAAAAAGATTATACAGCGTGTGAAAAAAGACTTTAGTTCCTTCATTATCAATGCCATCTTCTCATTATTGCTAGACTACAACAACTTAACAATCAAGCCCTGGGATATGCAGTGTCAACTTCTGCAGTAGTTTCACTTTTAAATCATGAAATTCATTACCTAAATGAATGTGAATAGAGATCTCAAGACACAGGATACACATACTGTACTAGCTGGTCAGTTTTGTGCTGTCCTTATGTTTTCATCTTGCTCAAAGTTTTTGTACAGAGATAATTAGGCACTAAAAACTTTTCTACAGAAAAGCTGGAGTTTGGCAGCTAGTTTGAAGTGGTGTTGAGATAACCGACACCTGAGAAAGGAGCAGAAGGGAATCCATGATTGCGAGCACCATTCTAGCTGGACGTTTCCACCAAAGTGATCTCTGATAGTAAGCTGTCAACATTTAACTGCCATCTTGAGGTCTGAATTAGTTTCATTGTAGTGACTGGAGCAATTTATACCTCAGAATTACTGTCAGACTGCCTGAAGATTCAAGAAGCCCTAATATTTTGTTAGTGTTTAAGATTCCCTGCAACCATAAGGCTAGAAACAGCAAATGAAAGTTTACGTTCTAAAATACAATTCTGTGACAAGTGGTATTTCCTGCCAGCAGAATCCATAAGACTTAGTTCCTTACGCCTGTGAGCCAAACTGGGTTGGTAGATTTTAAATTTTATCTTGGCTATTACTTAAGGAACACTGAAGTAATATTTCTTACTTTATATCAGGACTATGCTAATTTTTCACAGCATTCATTTTAGGTCAGTGAAAATCCAAACTAATGAGTAAAGTCAGGTTATAAAATAAGCAAATAGCCACACTAGCTAAGCATTTCAGATGTTGATACACTTAGTTTAGCAAAACGATTTACAGACTGATTTAAAAGAGTAAGTTATCTGGACTTTACTCCTAGAGAAATTCTGTGCCCCTGCAACGCAGCAGAAAGATGTCCCCCCTCCTGCAGATTCCCTTTGCTTCCTTGCAGAAAATGGTTTCTGTGGGGAAGCAAAGAGAAGCTGCACAAGTGCTCACTCACTTCTCTCCCCCACCAGCTTATACCTGTCAGTTGGTGGGTGGGCCACACAGAAGAGGTAAATCACTGAGCGGGAAGGGGGGTCTGCAGACGCCCCAGTTGCCCAGGGACATTAGTCCCAGCTGGGCAGGTGTGGGGAGGATGGAGATGGAGTCCCCCCTGCATCTCTGCATAGAGCAGCTGGGGCTGGGTCAAATCAAGTCTCAGAAGCCTTGGCAATGAGGGCTGGGGGCTCTGGGTTCCAGGTGCAGGGGCTGAGGCTCGGGGGGGAGGAAGGAAGGAAGGAAAAGAAGATCCAGATGCACAGAGGTTGGACGGACAGGGGGAGCAGCTCCCTGTACAGTGACCCCTCCCCACTGCATCAGAGCTCCCCAGCACCCAGACCCCCCCCCCAGCCCACTGAGCCCCCCAAGCCCTCACTCCCTGCAGCAGGAGCCCCCTCCCCCATGCCCAGACCCCTACCAGCTGCACTCTAACCCCCGACCCTACCAAGCCCCACTCCCCATCCCCTCCACTGAGCCCTAACCACCTTCACCTGGACTCCCCTGCAGAAGCCCATTCCCCCTGCACCCAGAACCCTGCACTGAGCCCCTGTGCATCCAGATTCCTCCCTGCCCCCAGACCCTTACCTGGCTGCCTGCACCCAGACTGCACCACACAGAACTCTGGTTCTCTCGAGGGAATTCTGCACCAAAAAAATTTAAAATTCTGCAAAGTTCTACACATTTTATTTGTCAAAACAACACAAAAATAATATAATCACATAATTTCAATTATTTTGGTAATTTATTTCAAAATACTTGCCAGCAAATAATTGAAAATGGTGTGATTATATTGTGATATTTTGACAAATAAAATATGCAGAATTTTACAATATTGTGCACAGAACATTTAATTTTTTGGTGCAGAATTCCCTCAGGAGTAGGACTTGTACAGTGGGATGTATCTATAGCAGTAGAGACTCAAGATGGGAACTGTGTACACTGATTAAAACTCTTCATAAAACTTGAGTCTTCTATGCTTACAAAATAGACACTGACTTCATGGAATGAGTCACAATGCAAAACTGAGGCCTGTGTCAGTTTTCAAAAATGTAAAGCTACAAGACACCTATACACAGGTCACACGGCTCTGGGTGGTTTCATAATACCGTAGATGTCAGGACTAAGGACTTTTTGCTGAAGAAAAGGCAGTGACTAGTGATCTTGATAGGAAACAAAAACTAAGCTGTAGAAAACCTGAAATCTAGGAATTGAAAGAAGCTTTCAATACAGGGATTGTACTTTATGAACAGGTTTTAAAGGACTGAAGATCTATTTTACATAGAATTTGTGGAAGCATATTCAGGAATCCCATCATATTATGTGGGGCACTTCCAGCATCCAAGACTGGCACTCTGGAAGTGCTTTCTTTCCTTGAAGGTAAGAAAAAAACATTCTGCAGAGACTTTCCATTGAAAGAATCACATCAGGAAGATGCAAGTCAAGTTCTGATGAAGGCCTGATTAGCAAAATCTTTCCAAGTGAGATGGTCATTTAAAAAGTCCTTACTGGTTACTTCCCTTTAGTCTCTGAACAGCTAAGTGATATTTGTGGGTATGTGGAATGTCAGGTTGGTGAAGAAATATTAAATGGCACACAACAACAGGACTAGCAGCTCTGAGGGCAAAAAACTGCTTGGTTAACATGGAACTATCATTATGACCAAGAAGGAATGAGCCTTTTGGAATGGTAATTAGATCACACTTGGATTAGGCCAAAAGAAGCAATTAGTAGTTTTGATGCAAGATTTAGGCATTTTAAAGGGGTCCTAATTTTCGTAAAGTTCCAAGCACCTGCCCTCTGGAAAAGTCTGCTTTAAAGTGTCAAATTGGACATCCAAGTATCACTAGACACTTACAAGATTAGGCCAATGACTGGGTTATAGCAGTCAGTGTCCAGAACTTTGCCTCCATGGAAAAAACAAGTATAGCTGTTTTCAAGACCAAAAGCCACAGATCACTGGAGCATCACATTTGTTGGGTAGATGGAAGTCAGGTTGCAGACTTTATTCCAGTGGTTCTCAACCTATTTACCGGTGTGGGCCACATATGCCGCTCTCTGTGTTATATGGACTTCATCCACACAATATATATACTACCTGTACAGCCCTGAGGATGTCACATGGGCTGCAGCTGCGTACTGATTAGGCCACAGGTTGAGAACCACTGCTCTCTTCAGACAGATCCATGGATCACAGACTAGGAGTTGGCTTCCTTTAAGAAAAGGAATGACAATGCCCACTTGACTGTTCACACAAGTCATGGCCATAGTGTCGTTCAGAATAAATGTGTTGAGTTTTTAGGGTATTCATCTGAAAAAATCAAGTCATTCAGTTCATGTGATTTATGTTCCATGATTATACCACGTGCCCTGTACAATTGTGGTCATACCATGCCCGCCCTTCCCCTATTCCCTCAAACCAAGCTAGTATCCTAGGCCAGGATTTACCCAAGTAGCCTGGTCTGAAGTCAGTTAACAGATGATCACAGGAGGGACCTGCTGGACAATGGACACAAGAGTGGACATGAAAATGAGAAGTTTTTGCAATTAAATCATGGGAGTCCTTGACAGAGGATACTAGCATGCCCCATATAGCCTCAGAAGAAAGTGGCTTGAAGAGTCCTTATTGGACACTACTCAACAAGCCAGTGGTTGTATTATTTCCTCTCTTCAGGGTGACAATATTTAGGCTGAGGACTCTTGTTACACCAAGAATGAGAGTGGATTGTGGGGTAAATGGATTCAGTTACTTCTGTGGTGGGGCTGAAGTGACTGAAGAAACTGGATGGTCTGACTGTCTTGTACTATTTTTCCCTCCAAGAAAGCTCTAAGATATGGTCTATGTAGGAGAATGTGAAGAAGTATTCTCTAAAGTCTGAACCCAAGATGATCAATATTCTGGAGCCACAATCCTGCTAGTACTACTGTTGTGCCAAAAAGCAAAGCTTTGTGTGGAGCTGGAAACCCCAATAAGAGAAATCTAGGAAATAAGGGTGATGAGTGAACTGGGTTACAGATACACCACCTTGAATATGACAACTCAAAATTGTCTTAGTGCATGAGACAAAGTGATCTCAGGGTCTCCTTATTGAAACTAGATTTCCATTTATATCTGTAGAGTTTCCAAATCCAAATTCACTTTTGCCTACATAGAATTGTTGGCTACAATGTGAATTGTTGGCTACAATGTATTACAAACCTTTTGTTAAACCAGATTCTGCAGAGCTCAATCTCCAAGCAAAAAGCTATTCTTAGTAAAAGATGAAAAAACCAGTGGTACCTTATTTGCATGGAATGAACTCTGAGCCCACTGTAGTCAATCTCTTCTTTTTGCTCGAATTCCTTCCATTCATCCTCTTCCTGAACAAAAATAAATTTTTATAAGCTTGATACCACTTCATGAGAAAACTAAAAGTGCAAGCAGTACAGAAACTACAGCACCAGGGTTTCCCTAAAAGGTATGGAAAGGCAACTAACTTTTAAAAATTTCCTATTTATCTACTTTGTTACCTGAACGTAGTAGTTATGCATATTAAAATAGTCTGTTGAGATTCAGGACAAGAGATACAACATTAGTGCATTTAGCTACTTTCACGCTGTTCACGATGGTTGTGATCTGAATATATTTGGAGATTCTCAATTAGAAGCAAGGTCATACAAATCAAATTATCCATGAAGACACCAATTTCATCACAAAAAAAGTGTTGTGATTGAGGATTAACTTTTAACTAGGTCCAGAATATGACTTAAGGTTCTTTTGCATTTTAAATGCTGTATAAGGCATGGCTTGGTAAAACACACGCAGGGTGCAGACTAGGATGAAATTTTTTAAAATAAGTAGGTTTTTCCCTATGGTTACAAAAATTACCTTATATGTGTTTCACTCTGGCAGGTCGTGCAATGTTGTCCCTCTTGACTACAAACACTTGCACTGCCTCTGCTGTTGACCGCAAAAAGAAAAAGGAGTACTTGTGGCACCTTAGAGACTAAAATTTATTTGAGCATAAGCTTTCGTGAGCTATAGCTCACTTCATGCATCCAATGAAGTGAGCTGTAGCTCACGAAAGCTTATGCGCAAATAAATTTGTTAGTCTCTAAGGTGCCACAAGTACCCCTTTTCTTTTTGCGAATACAGACTAACACAGCTGCTACTCTGAAATCTGCTGTTGACCATAATTTTGCCAAGTTGAAGAGCTAAATTTAAGATTCTGGTTACTTTTATAGTTTCTGTTCAGAACCCCATGAATGGCAGTGAAACTCATGTTAGTTTTACCCTGCTCCCTGAAAAAAATTACAAGCAGCAGTACTAGTTACCTCTGCCACTACCAAAGAGTAGGACAAGAGAGGAAGGGAAAGAGACCCCACCCCACCTCCACAGCATCCAAAAGGCTGAAACAGAGAACAAGTCTCATCCTTCCCACTGTTTTTTGGAAAGGAGGATGACTTCAAACTCCTGTAGGCTGATATGAAAGATTAACACCTCATATGCAGGGTCTGTAACAGCACCCTTGTTTTTCCCAACAGCTGAAGAGGCACAGGGCTTAGCCTCTTATCCCAGAGCCCTCCCCTTATCATTTACATCTGTCTCTGTTAAGCAAATATCTGTTTGCCAAGACCTGGTTTAAAGTAGCAATATTAATAGCAAATGACTTCATGTTACTGGGATTGGTTGCCTAGAGACTTTATTCCTTCATTAAGGATGCTACTCTCCATCTGAAACACTTTAGATTTCTTACATTACCTTCTAATGGCAAACTGTTGCCAGATCAGTATTTTCTAAATTAAAAGATTTTCCCTTGTCTTTATTTTTCATTTTGTTAGCTTTTTTGTGTTCTATTTAAACAAGCCTAAAGTAATTAACTATTCTCTCTACTTTAGGAATTAAATGTTAAGTGATTTGATCACTAATCCTGGACAAGTTAGAAATGTAATTTAGGTCTCAGATTCCCATACCCTCAACATCTCAGCAATCTGCATTAGGGCAGAAACTTCCCTCTGGGGAAGTTATTCTAGAGGATAGTTTATCAAAGCTTCCGGAAATGCCTACTTTCAAAGCTAGGATACTGGACTAAATGGAACAGTGGTCTAACCTATTACAGCAATTTTTGTGTTTTCTCTTGCACGCTATCCTTCTCACTGCACTGCTTCCCTACATTCACAAAAGGTATCAGAAATCAATGCCTCAACTGGCTGAGATACAAAGGATTTAGTGCACATAGTGGGTCCCTTCTGGTTCAGAGGTCCACAGCCAGAGCTAGGGACCCACGTGGTAACTTTCTGGAGTTTCTAGAAGACTGGCTAGTCACATGATGATGGATCCTCCTATTTCCAGCTGCTATTCACATCAGGTCAGCCCATTGCTGCCCACTATAGATGTACTTATTTGTGGATAGATATATTAAACTTCTAGATTGCAAACGGAGTCTTTTACACAATTTGTGTTTTCCAAGTGTAAGTATAAAGATACTAGACCGGCTCGAAGCATTTGCACATTAAAGCAAGATCACGTCCCTGCTGCAAAAGCCTGGCTCGGTCATTTTCCTGCCATTACATTTCTAATAGATGCATCTGCTGACGCTAACTCCCCCAGTTTAACGGTATTAGTCTCCCCCCACCTCCATCAGTACGATCGGTGGCCGATCTCGGCGACTCCAGCCCCAGAGCTCTAGCAGAGACCCCCCCCGCCCCCCCGCAGCGGTAAATACAGGAGGCAGCACCGCCTCGCGAGGGCTGACAGGCGCTCAGGGCCCAGCACGCGCGGGGCGGCCGAGAGACGCCAGCCAGTCACTGGTTCCCCTCCCCCGCTGTCCCCGGGCAGCCACGGCACCGGGCTCGCGGCCTGATCGGGGCCCCCACCCAGCCAGAGCCGAGGCACGGAGGCCTGGCCAGCCCCGCAGCGCCGCCCTCTGCCGGCAGGAAGCCGCCGCCGCCCAAAGGAAGCCGCCGGGGCGCAAGCGGTCGTCGTTGGCTCGCTGCAAAGCGCTGGCGTAGCCCGGGGGGAGCCGGGTCCCTCCTCCTTCCCCGAACCGATCCCCTCCCCCCCGCCTCAACTCCCGGGCGCGAGGGGCCCCAATACCGTAGCCCCCCCTCCAATCGCACCTTAACCATCGCCCTGGCGGAGGAGACGGTGCTGGCGGCGGCCCCGGCGGCCCCGGAGCCCCCCTCGGCCGGCCGGGATCCCCCCGGCACGCTGGAGGCGGAGGAGACAGAGGAGGCCGCGGATGCGGCGGCGGCTCCCCGGCTCCCTTTCTCCCGCCGCTTCTTCTTGTCCCTCTTGGCGAAGAAGTCGTCTAGGCTCCTCTCCTCGGTCTCGGCCATGGCGGCGGCTACGGCGCCTGCTCCGGTTCGAGCCGGCTGCGGCGGGGCGAGCGGGCGTTTCTCTGCCTCACGCGCTGAGGGGGAGCCGCCGGAACCCCGAGTGGGTGCGGGGAGGCGGCTGAAAGAAAGAACCAACAGGTGCGGGGTTGTGTCAATCGGTACCGCCTGGCGGGGCGTCTCTCCTCGGCAGAAGGCAGTTGGTACCGTCCAACGGTTACCGCTCGCGCCTCGAGGAGCCGGTTCGAAGCCACCCCAACGTTCGGAGGCAGCTTTCTGCTCTCCACGATGGTGGTGGCGGCAGCCGCCTCTTGACACAGCCAGGAACCAGGAGGAAGGAGAAAGCGTGAAGGGGGGTGGAGGGAAAAGAGGAGGAGGAGGAGAAAAAAGGCGAGCTACGCTAACTTGCTAGGCGCTCCGGCAAAGAGTAATATTGCGACAGGCGCATGCGCCTAATAGCGCTGACCAATGAGCTGAGGAGAAGGTTGCTCCTCTGGGCGAATAGAAAACCTCTGGAGTGGGGGACTGACGTCGATGCGTCAAATTGCATGACGCCTGCGTAGGAAGCAAACGGCCCTGTGACTGGTCCAGCACAGAACATACCTCAGGCAAGGTTGGTTGAGTTAAATTTTTTTTTTTTTAGAATAGCGCATGCGCGCAAGGAAAGTCGAGGGGGTGGATGACTAGCGGAGCGGGGCTTGAGGTGGCCACACAGGGAACGTAGGTTGCGGAGCCGTCTTCGCCCCAGACCCGCCTTCCCGCGCGCGTGGTAAAGAGCGGGAAACGCTCCCCCTGCCTGTGAGCAGGGCGCAGTTCGCGCGGCAGCTGGCGCGAGCAAGGCGTCGTTCCCGCGGGGGGCGGGGGTGGCAGGAGCGTCATAGCGCCCCCGTTTGCGGTAGCCCTGTGCGCGCGGGTTATGTGCACGCGAGTTAATGAGCCCTGTGGTTGTACCCGCGTTGCGTGTAACCCGAGTACGAGCTCGGTGACAAAAGAGATGATCCCACCCGCCGCCTCCTCTCTCCCCTCTGGCCCTGTCTGCAGCTTAGCACAGAAGCCGTGTGGCTTGCGGGCTGGGCCCGCCTTGCCGAAGAAAACCCTCGCTCTTATCTAGAGCGCAGTGAGAACCGAGCCGGCAGGTTTCCCACGCCACGTGCTGGCCTTGGCCTGCGTGGGGGCGGGGGGCTTTATCTCGGAGCAAGAAGGCGCGTTCACGCCTGCCTTGACTCGTGCAGGTTTTGGCTTCTCTGGGCTGAGTCTGCCAATTAGTGGGGAACGTGTGTGATGTGGGAGCCGGAACAGGCCCACCGAAGGCTTTGTGGGGGAACCCTAAAGATCGATCTCTAGGGTGGGAACAACTTTTAATTCCTTAATTGGCTGGGCTGGATTGGCACTGCTGACCTACAGGTGAAAGGCTAATTGGTCATTAGCGACGGCCTGAAGCATTCAGAGTAGCAGCCGTGTTAGTCCGTATTCGCAAAAAGAAAAGGAGTACTAAAGGAGTACTAAAGAAAAGGAGTGGCACCTTAGAGACTAACCAAGGAATCCGATGAAGTGAGCTGTAGCTCACGAAAGCTTATGCTCATATAAATTGGTTAGTCTCTAAGGTGCCACTAGTACTCCTTTTCTTTTTGCTGAAGCATTTAGTTCTCCTTCAGAGCTAATTTTTACTTTATTGAAAATGAGATTGCTTTCTTGAAATATGTTTGTTTAACCAAGTTCTGATCTTTTTAGAGCACATGCAGGCAAGGTCTTCCACTTTCTGTATACACAGGCAAAAATATCCCCACTGTGCTTTCTCCTCTTTAAACAAGCGTTTTAATAAGTATCCCACCCATTTCTAACAGAAGAGTTCTCACTACACTAAAACAAATATTGATACAACAACCAAAATACCTACAAATATGTTTTGTTATATAAAATCATTTCAATATTTATTGCATGGGCTTCACACTGACATATGTCCCGCCCTGCATGGGCCGTTAGAGTTTGAATCCATAAGTTATAACCTTCAGATACATGGCACCAACTGCTTCTATGGGAGTTGCATGAGCATCTGCCATTAAGTAGAATGACCTTTCCTATTAGCACGGAGGCGGTAAGAGACTCATAAATCTCTACAGGAGGCCTAACCCCTAGAAAGGGACAAAGATCTGCACTGTGTTAGCATGGGTTACCCAAAGAGATAATTTATCTCCTTCCATCTGAGAAGTAGTGTGGTAAGGTGTGTTCTATTCCTACCTCTGTCTAGTCTGATGTTACCTTTTCCCACTTGTCTGTTATCATAGCTGTAAAATGAGTGAACAATAATTATGTCTACCCAAAGGTGGGGGAAATGATGCCTTGGTTAATAAGGGTTAGGAAGTGACTAGAAATATTCAGAGCAGTTAGCAGAAGAGCTGGCATTAGACACATGGGCTCTCAGAAGACAATTTAGTGCATCTTCCCATAGGCAACGCTGTATTGCAGGGTCTTGCTCTTGCTTTCTCCCTCCCTCCCTCAAAAATGGTGTGACATATTGCCAGTTGTATAGGAACAAAATGTGTGACTGTCAAATCTTGGGTAATACTTGGTGGCCTGGTCTGGGAGGAAGGGGTGTCTCCAGATGTGAGAAGGGGTTTAGGGTTCCAAATGTATGTGGAAATTGTGGGGTGGGCCTCTGGAGGTGAAGGGAGGGGTGAGAGGGAGAAGCGGGTGAATGTTCAGTTATGTGTCTGCCTCATCCACTTCTCCAGAAGTGGAGATTTGAGGGGAGGGGAAAAGTTTCCAGATGTGACATTTACTTTTTCTGGGCAGGTAAAGGTCTACAGGTATGAACATTTTTGATGTGTCAGGATGGGATTGTTAAGGAAATGTCTCTATGTTAAATTACCAGAAGTTCATGTCAGAAGCCTTTGTTGTAAGTAGCTTAGTAAAAACATGGTGAACTATTGTATTCCATTAAAGATTATTATTATTTCTATAATGCAATAGGTATGCATAGTTCTTCACAGACAATAAAAAGTGAAGTTAAGACTTTGAATTCTGGTGAGCATCTCATTTATTTACTCCTTGTTCAGTTATTTCAAATTTGATAAGTATTCTGTCTCAGTCCCAAAATTAAACTACCAAATTTGAGCTTGGATTTTACATGGGGGAACCAAAACTGAGTTTATAATGGAAATGAAGATGCAATATTAACTATGGAATAACTGCCACTGTATCATAATAGGATTTAATTTCAAGTAGAATGTATTTTTGGTTATTGAATCCACCCATGTGGAGTTAATTGCAGAATCTGGGCCCAATATATTAAACTGAAATGTATACATAGGGGCCATGATCTGACTAGACCCTCTTGGGGTTTGTTCTGTGGATCTTGGAGGGGGATCAGCATTGGCTTTCAAGTTGAATGTTAATACAGGGGTCTGTCCTGGATTTGGTACAGTTCAAAATTTTCATGAATGACTTGGATAATGGAGTGCAGAGTATACTTAAAATTTGTGAATGACACCAAACTGGGAAAGTTGCAAACACTTTGGAGACAGGATTAGAATTCAGCCCTCCCATTTCTATGATTTATTGTCAATGGCTTATTGTTGTGGTGTTGCAAAATTCTGGATTATCAGGTATGCTGTTTGATCAAAGCCTGGAACTGAGTGGCAGAGACCCTATAGACATAGTAGCAGATCCGTTCCACTCAAGTAAACATTACAAACAGAACCTTTTTTTTTTTTTTTTTTTAAAGCCAGATACTGAATTTGTATGCACTGGAAATGAATGTTTTTCTGCAACATTGGACCTGGGTGGGAGTGAACCTCATTTTACTCTGATATCTGGAATCTAGTATATATTGGAAAGGTAAGAAGCCATTGCTGTTATCTATGTAGATTGTCCAGTCTTGTTTCTAGCGTTGGGTAGCCCAATGGATTATAGTGCTGTAAACTGATTTGTTCAGCCCAGTTGATGAACTCAGGCCTTCGAAAAGTACTGCACACTTCTTAAAAACCAGGTGTAATTACTGCTTTCTGTTCTTTCTATACTCCTAACTAATGAACAGATATAATGAAACACATTTTTACTTTTGGTCAGTTACTGTGTATATACCTATTTGGCATACTGAAAATTCATGTTAATGCTTGTAGTTATAGGGAAAGATCTCTCTTGAGCAAAGGTAAAGTAGCAGAAGACATTAGGGAAATCAGTTTGCAGGAGAACATAAGTATTTGAAAAGAGAGAGTGGGAAAGCCCCCTTGTCAAAAATGTGGCATTGGTTTAAAATAGGAAAAGCATTTTTTCTTAGATATATAAGTGCATTGGCCTAGTACAAAATGTGTACTGCACACAGGCCTGCTCTTTAGGAAATACCTATTTTTGTGAAAAAATGCAGGGACACTGATACTAAAAAGTTCGGCCTCCAATGGACAAATTAAGAGGTGGAAATAAATAAGAATGAGATTGTGCTTCAAAATGTGTTGTCATATGTTTTGGGACTCAACACATTTTGAAGACCAGGATAAAACTATCAGCAACGGAGATAAACCTTAAAATGGTGCACTTTTAATCATGTAAAATTCTTACTGTATGGTACGTTTATTAGTCTGCCATAACCAGGAGAAGTATCTGCTGCTCACGTGCTAACCAGAACCAAAATTATCTGTCAAATATTGGTAGCAATATTTATATTTCCTATTTTTAGTGCCATTTTATAACCTGGATATTTTTTTCTTAGAGTAAAATTATGTATTCCCAAACTTTGGAAGATAGTGTTGGATAGATTTTTGCCTTGATGGATTAAAATACTACTTCCACTTAGTGCTTTCCGTCCATAAGTCTCAAAATTCTTGAATAAAGAGAAGTGTCGTTGCCATATTAAAGAAAGGAAACTGAGATATAGAAAAGTTAAGTGACTGCCCAAGGTCATAGGGCACTTTAGTAGCACAGACAGAAATAGTTTCAGACCTGAACTACACTGTAAGGAGTAAGGACCAAATTCTTCCCTGTCATTTAGGGTCCAGTCCAGTTCTGATTGAAGTTGAAGACTTACTGACTTCAGTGGGAGTTGGACTGGGTCCTTACTCCAGGCAACCAAACATAAAATTTTTACCTGATTCTCTTCTATGAGTTACTTATGCATGCAAATAGTAGATATTAAATATGATAAATCTGTTTATAAATTCTAGTACATAATTGTGGAAGCCCAAGAGAAGTACATTTATTAATACAATATTTTAGAAATGTACATCTCCCTGACTGGCAGAAATGTGTGTTTATATTCAGTTTCACAGTAGTAGTTATAAATAGGTCCATGTGGCTGCAGATAATAGCAGGTCCTGGGCCCTAAAGATTACAAGATGGCAGAAAATTGTAGCCATTATAAACAGTGTATTACACACATCTATACCGGAAAATATTCATATTCTTTGTTTTTTGAACAATTAACTTATTTTATTTGAATTTCAGTCATGTGTGTTTACCTAAATTTTTGCCTTAATGCAGATGCATGCTCATTGTAAGATGGTTTTTGTTTTATTAAAATTAATGTGCAAAATGTATCCCAGCCTGCATTCTAAAATATCTGTGGCAAAATAAACAAGGTTATTGCTGATGTTGGCAGAATCTAAGGGTAGCCACGAAGAACTTAACAAGCACATTCCCAGGAGGCAGATTGTTCTCTTCAGTGTTAAGAGCTGTGGGACAGGGTTTGGGGGAAGAAAAATCTTCCTGAAGAATCCTTTGCAGAGAGTTCTCCGTGTCATTCCATGGAGGGAAGCAGAGGTTTCCCCCTGCAAGCTTCACTCCTCACCCTTGGATCCTTGGCCATGTAGTGCTTGGAACACACTGTGGGCAATGTGGAAAAGATAATGCAGTCTGGGGAAACTCTGTGTATCACCCCCAACTTAACCACGCTTCCCTCCAGCCTACCTACTCATCACCCCTTTTCTCAACGTGGACCCTGAACCACAGAGAAAGCACTACTGAATCAGGGTGGTAGGTTTTTTTTTTTTCCACAGTTTCATAGACATTAAGATCAGAAGGGACCATTATGATCATCTAGTCTGATGACACCTCCTGCACGATGCAGGCCACCGAATCTCACCCACCCACTCCTGCGATAAACCTCTCATCTATGTCTGAGCTATTGAAGTTCTCGAATCATGGTTTAAAGACTTCAAGGTGCAGAGAATCCTCCGGCAAGTGACCCGTGCCCCATGCTACAGAGGAAGGCGAAAAACCTCCAGGGCCTCTTCCAATCTGCCCTGTAGGAAAATTCCTTCCCGACCCCAAATATGGCGATCAGCTGAACCTTGAGCATATGGGCAAGATTCACCAGCCTGATACCCAGGAAAGAATTCTCTGTAGTAACTCAGATCCCACCCCATCTAACATCCCATCACAGGCCACTGGGTAACAGGGTCATGGGAACAGCTGAGTCCCCTTCTGCACAGAAGGAGGCCGATCTGCTTGTGGAGAACTCCTCAGGCAAATGCGCAAGGACTGTATGATTTGGCCTTATATCACTCTTTAGACTCTCAGTCTAGTACCTGGGTGAGTTAGGTGTTTTAAGGCTTAAAATCTGTGGCTACCTACATAATTGTAGAAAGCCAAACCACCCCAGAATTTGCTGCGTGGTCTCCTATTACTGTCACTCTTCACTGTTACCAGGCTTTCTCCATACTCCTTATTGACTGTAGTCAGCATCTTGGCAGCAGCTTATGGAAGTGTGGACTTTTCCAGCTCATGCCGTTGGCCAAGTACCCTTCGACCAGGTACCTTTTGTCCTATTTCCTTCTCTCATGAGAGGTCGAAAACATGTGTTCCTTTTGATCAAGAATGATTTGCAACAGATACTCAAGTGACAGTAGCACTAAAAATATCTCCAGAGGCATTTTTAAATAGAAAACTGAGAGAAAATTGAAAGGTACAAATCATATCTAGTCTACAGTTTGTATAACAGCCCTACAATATTAGTAAAAAAATTTTTGCTAACAGTTTGCTGTGGTTTAAGCCAAAGAATCAAATCCTTACATTTTTAGAGTCAGGAGACTGTCAAGCTATTTCTGTCACTCTTTTTCTCCCTCTCAGCATCTCAGAGATCAAGTATCTCTTCCTCTTTCCTAGTGAAATTCTTTGCAGTTATACCCTTAGCTGCCAACTTTATATTAAGTAACAAAGCCATTGCTGCTGAGGCTTTCTAACTAGTTTCTAAGATTTGTCACAGTTATCCTTGTGTATGTATTATACGATGCTGCTTTTATATTTCTATATATTATTAGCATTGACAATCTGTGTGCTTAGCTTAGATGGCTTGATCCTGTGCAGGGCAGGTGCTAAGGGTTGTATAGGTTAAAAATTATGAGCAGAACAAGGGAGCACTGGGGAATCTCTGATATTTAGAGCAGTGTTGAAAGGCTGCCAAATTACTTGTGTCTTGTAGGTAGGTGTAAGGTCTAATCAGGGAACAAGTAGCTAAATAACTTATTAGATCATCCTGAAGTCCATTGCTCCCCAGGTGCATCCATGCTTCTCACCCCCCCCCCCCCCAACACCTTGTCTGTTTGCAAGGAATAGAGAGACTATGCAAGAGCTTGACACCTAACTGCTCAGTGTGGAGTAATAGACCTGCTGCTTGAACTTACTTGTGCCAATGCACTACTTTCACTTTTACTCATAGTGAGCTTGCACATCCTGCAGTGCACTGTGCAATGACTTGCAGATTCAACAGTGAAATGATCCAAGCTGGCAATCAGTTTCCATACAGCATGTTTTCCTTTAACTATCTTGGTAGATAAACTGGTATTGTCTTCCATATTGCCACTAAAGAAAGTGCTGCACCTGATCCTGAGATACAGAAATGCAGATCATTTACCCGACATAACAGTTTTTCATTAGGCAATTATCGATAAACAACTCCACTCTGTTACCAGGGCTAATGTGAACCTAATGCCTTTCTGCTTCTTTTGTGTCATTCATCTCTTGCAAACACAATATCATAAGGCTGTGGAATGGTCCTCTCTTGATTACAGATTTAATACTTGTTAGGAGCATGGTACTGATAGCTGTTTCAGCTCTTAAATCTGGAACTGACTCAGCAGAAACCAAAGAAAACAGTAGCACCACTTTACTAAGGCATAATCTGTTGAGGCCAAGATGCTAGGATGGAATGGATTATGCTTTACTGTCATATACTATACTTACCCACAGGGACCTAGACCCCAGGCTCCAGCCTGAACCTGGAAGACTACATAGCAGTGAAACAGGCCCATAGCCTGAGCTCAAGTTGGCTGTCATGGGTAGACATGGGTAACCAGACATTAAGTGTGAAAAATCGGGACAGGGATGGGGGATAATAGGAGCCTATATAAGAAAAAGACCCAAAAATCGGGACTGTCCCTATAAAATCGGGATATCTGGTCACCGTAGTGATGGGGCCAGCCATGGGTTTTTCTTTGCAGTATAAACATACCCAATGTCTCTGTAAGAACTGAGAATAGACCTACCATCTCGAGACTCCTATTCCTGTGTTAACAATAAAACCATACTGTTTCCGCATCCTTAGCTTTCTGTTTTCGTCTCATCTCTTTGTGAAATGATGATAATACTTTAGTAAACTGCTTGGATACTCCCAGATCAAAGGCACACAATAGATGGAGCTTGAACACTTTGCCAGACAGCAACTACTAACCAGAGGACTATATGTACTAGACAGAGTCTATTTAAAACAAACAAACAAAAATATCAGGAAGACAGAGCACTAGCAAGATCCAAGGGCAATGCCCTAGTGAAGTCCCTCACAGCTGTTCGGAGGTAGTAATTTACTGGGATTCCTGCCAGGATTGTCATTTGAATCTGCTTGAGGG